ATTGCCCTCAGCTTAGTAATACTTATCCATGAATTAGTAGTTACAACTCATAAAACTGTAGGTAAGTGGAGTTACAGGTACATGCCCAAAGAATGGAAGGGCTAGTTCTGCTGTGGCGGGGATGCTATGAGCCTTTATTAAGATAAGGGGCTTGCCTTTTGCCCTGAGAGATCCCAAAGAAAGCACTCTCCAAAGTGGTCCAGAACATATTTGAAGGCCTAATTAAGCGCTAACTCCAGCGGTCAAAGTGCCCAATTAGAATATCGTTTGGTCCTTGGAGCCCTTTATGCAATCCCGTTTGAACCCAAGATTACATACTGCTCAGGCACTTGGACCCTCAGATTAGAACCCTAAGGGTCCAAGTACCCAATAATCATATATAATTACTATTACCCAAAACCCAAGTACCTAAATATTGGGTACGTGGACCCTAAACCCTAAACCCTTTAAAGGGGACCTAATTATTGGGTACATGGACCCTCAGGTTCGAATGCATCGAAACTCAACTTCCCCGTCCACCTTGTCCGCCGGAATGAGATGCCTCGAAAGAGATGGTCTTCTATAGGGTTTAGGGTTTAAGGGTTTAAGGGTTTAGGGTTTAAGGGTTTAAGGGTTTAGGGTTTAGGGTTTAAGGGTTTAGGGTTGAAGGGTTTAAGGTTTAAGGGTTTNNGTTTAAGGGTTTAGGGTTGAAGGGTGTAGGGTTTAAGGGTTTAAAGGACTTCAAAATGTTGAGCTTACCGGGGGGGAGGGGTGTCGTAGGGAACATGGGAATGAATACATATATATATGTGTATATATGATTATACATTGTAGGTTTTTTGGGCTCAGGGTAGGGAATGTGCGGACATATTATATGAACATAAGGGCCATATAGGGAGTATATTCGCCTATTCCTTACTAAGACCAGTAAGAAAGAGAAGCCTAGCCAGAGAGGTATTGCAAGGAGCGGGGAATAATAAGAGGACTTTGGTGGCCCCAACCTCCCAAATTAGGACCATAGGCCCATCATATGGGCTGAAGTCTTAAATTCTAGTATCCCCCTTAAAAACCCTTATAAATCCCTCGCCCAAGGTCAGAGTCTAACTCACCTCATCCCCCCAAAAGATGCGGGCTTCTCAAGACCTGGGGTTTAGGGTTAAAGGTTCAGGTTTAGGGTTTACTAATTTAGGGCTTCCCAAAATTGGGCGTACCTTTTTGGGGATCCCTATAATAAGGACTATCGTATATTGGGCTCTACATTGGGGTACCCTAGTTTTGGGAAACTGCCATATAAGGTTTTAGGGTAATGACGGCCTAGCCTTTTAAGTGGGACCCTATACAGCAACTATCACATGACCTTAATAGGGCACTACTTTGGGGATGGAATTACCAAAACCTTTCTTTAAACAAGCATGCCACAACCGTGACTGCACAGCAAAATGCAGGTTTCTTAAGGGCGGCACCGGGCTTTCATGGTGCTTCGTAGAAAAAACTTGACTGTGAGATTGCTAGTTTTTCTTCATGCCTTCAACAGGAAGTCGGGTTTATGAACGTTGAACTGACTAGATTCTCGATTGTTATCCTCTCGGTCTGTTGTGCCTTTGTTGTCAAGATCCCTCTCCCCACAAAATAATGACACATAAGTTCGTCACGCCACCCACATCTTAAAGCTAAAGCTCTCAAAACTTGGACCAAACATTGAATCCTGAAACGTAAGGATTTACAAAGCTCTAAAAATTGGTACACTGCAGTTCATACACGGTTTTCTAGACAGTGGCGACCCTCTCCTCGACCAACGTCGAACCCAAAACGGGCCCCTTATGGGCCTACTGTTGGAGTTACACCGGTACTATCCCGTCCTCTTCCCATGTCAGTGGGGTATGAACAAATCCGCAGGGTCCTAGAGGTTCCCGATGCATATCAACTTCGACAAACTTTGCGAGGCCGGTGCGTCCGAGACCTGAACTTCTTGAACCCAAACCCTGACGTGTCAAGTTGAGATCTGCAGCCACGATGCTCAAAGATATTGTACGCAGAAAGACAGAGGCCAAAGTTCTTTCGACCTGATGAGACCGTTCAGAGCTGCACTCTAGCCTGCGAGAGTCCTATACTGCGATGGATACCGAATCATGCACATGGGAATATCATATGAGGCTAGGTCAAAATGTTAGCGCAGCAGCAGTAGCAGCAGCAGCAGTGGGTTTAGGGTGTGGGGTTTAGGGTTTGGGGTTCCGGGCACGGCCCTCTACAAATGTGTCCGGAATTCAAATAATGGCGAGGAGCTGCCTGTTTGTCATTGGCTACCCATAATCCCCCAAGAGAGTCCCGAACCTCTCCCCGCTGAGGAAATGGCAGACCCAACATTTCAGCCTCTCTGCCTTCCTGGGTTTACGGTCTTGGATTTAAGTTTTGGGTTGTTGAGGGTTAAGCCCTGGAGACCGCTTTTCACTCTGAACGCGTTGCGTCTGTCTGAAGAGCACTCACACAGTCTTAGAGAAGGTCCCTCTGGTACACTAAAGCGACGCTGAAGTCAGATGAGAAAACTTTGAAGCGCCTGGCACAATTGCAATCTCGTCGGACCTATTTGTAGGATACTTACAGGCTCAGGGAGACTCACTCAATTATCAAGTAGGTTAATGATTCGGACAACCATGGTTAGTTTGTGGCCAGTACGGGTCATAAGTATGCTCACCAAGTCCCCGTGATCCTCCAAGGGACGACCTTACCTATAAAGCCCTAGTGTCCATTTCCCTTTCAATGTTTTCCTTTGAGCTTCCATTGTTATGGTAGCTTCCATGTTCTTTTCCATTCCTTCCTTCCTTCCTAAGTCCCCCTGACCCTCCAAGTTTGCCCCAAGAAGGTATGCCACCAGGCCCCGCCTTAACCCCAAACCCTAGACCCTTAACTCTAAACCCAAAACCTACGCAAACCCAAAACTAAGTGAGGGGTCGCTGACATCAAGCGACAGACCCCGAACGCTGGCCGAGGGCTCACAGCCCGAGCGCACAACAAAAAGAGCGGGTCGCGGAGAGGTAACGCCTCACCTCCTTGGCCTGCACAGGCTGACTGAAGGCGCAAGCCACTCTGATGGCGTGCTAAGAGCGCGGCCTGTCTGAAGGATACTTCAGCTACTCAAGATGACAGAACAGCCAGCAGCAGGGACCATCCCCCCCGCCCTGCCATTGTCAAGATTGCAGCGAAAAAGACTGCACAAACGCGCCCAGCTGCTCGAGCAACCCAACCCAAGAATCAAGGAGATGTGCCCAGGCCACCCCGGCCTGGTGTGAAATTTTCTGCGACTTCTCCAGGGAACCCGGCGCGGTTGCCGCCCTCGCGAGACACTTGCCCCTTGTCCAGTCACGCTGCGTTCCAGGTAGCTTCTTCTGGCAAAACTGTCCAAATCCTGAAGAAGATCTGGATCGCACACAAAGACCTGGTGCAGGAGGCATTGGACATTCGTACATGGAAAGGCGACCGTGCTGCTGAGACAAGACGCCCAAAAGCGCAGACAGCAACGCTCCCCAGAGCGACTGGCCGCAGCTTCTTCTACGGCTTGGCGCAGCATGTGCTCGGGGAAAAAGGCTCAGCGTGTGTACTACGAAAGCAGTGCGCAAGGACCGGCGTCTAATTCGACGGAAGGTTTTCTTTCCCCAGAACCTGTACAAGCACGCCTCAGCTGAGCGGGAGGCTTCCGATATTGAGAGATGGCAGAACTTTGTGGCCCAGCGCTGACGTGGCTATCAATGAGGATGGCTTGCCCACACCGACTGGCACTCTTGCTTCACAAGTGGTGGCGTGGTGCAAACATGGATCATATACATTTGCACACAATGCCATTCAGCGCAGACGCGGCGCTTAGAACCATCAGATCTGCGACGAACGGCGCCAGCATTGATGAACCCAAAGGTCTGTGCAGCTGGCAAGCACCAGGAATACCTGCCCCAGCCAGAAGACATTCCTGTCGCCCTGCAGAGGCTGCGGCCTCGTGTTCTTGCTGCTCTTCGGCCTTTGGACGTAGACGCAGGGATTTACCAGAGGGCACCCCACGGCTACCGCGTCCACACGGCAATGATCCACTTCAGTTGGGCCTCTACCAGTGTGGATGACAAAATCCAAGCTTTGCCCAAGAAGAAGGACAGGCGTCGTGCAACAAAAGCCCTCCAGCACTTGCTGACGTGCACGGACAGCGCTTACAAGACCTTCTATGGCTTGCACCTGGACTTCTTTCGCAAGCATGGAACTAACGTCGAGGAGAAACTGAGAAAGTTGCCCCTGAGCTTCTTGGAGACACCTGGCCTGAATGCGCTGTCTGGCCTGAACTCTATTGGCATCACAACCTCTGCGAGACTGTCACGCGAGCCAACCATGAAACTCGCCGGAAACAACGACGAGCCGCGCGACGGGCAGCAGCAAACCGGCGACAGCACCTCCAGCAGCAATGCCAGCAGTGATGAACCGGAAAAAGCTGACTGCGGCGAAGCACCCACAGAGGCTCGAATGAGCTCACAGGTAAAAGACAACAACTTTTCAACGGGCCGTGCCATCTCCCA